TTAAGTGGTAGTAAAGACAGACAGGCTACTACAGTATAAAGAGATTATTACAGTACCCTTGGGATTGTATATTTCTTGGGTTTATTTTACTTTATTGCCTTCCTCAACCTGGTGCTGTACTTGAGGAAGATGGTGAAGTCTATAGACAAAATGGAGCAGGCTGAATTGGGCAAAACGGGGTTACTTAAGGTTACATAGAGGTGTCATATGTCATTTGGTGCAGTCCTTACATCTGGATTTGTACAAGGACTGTGTGGTTTTAGGTAAGAAACTACACCACATCTTAAGTGACTCTGTTTGGCCCATTTCCCTTTAAAGAGAAAGAAGAGGAGGGGGGCAAAAAAAAGACACACACTCCTCCTTGTCCTCTCTTGTTTCTTTCTCCTTCTGGGAGGAAGTTTTCAATTAAAGTTTTTATTCTCAAAAAGCATAGCACATCTCTGTCTGCTGAAATCACTTAAGAATACTGGAAACTTGAAAGCTATCTGTTTAAGTTGTCTGCTTTGGTTCATTCCCAGTGACTGCACATGCTGGAACCAAACCAAAATGGAGTGATCCTAATCACACCTTAAAAAAACAGGGAATCAAGAAGGTGCAGATAAGAACACATCAGGTTTGCATTGGGACTTACGTCATGTAGTTTCTGGAAAAAGATGTGAACCAGCCCACCTCCCGGATTGGACTAAACAGTAAAACAAATCCCTGTGTAGTGACATCCTAGGCTGAAACATGGAACTAGAGATGTGACAGAATATTCTGGCATTTATGGAAAAGACTCTACTAAGCCTGTGTTGCCCCTCCCTCTGTAACAATCCCTTGCAAACAGAATATTCCTAATGAAATGAAAGGAAAGACATTGCATTATTTGCAAAGATACCAATCTCCTGTTGTTTTAACCTGCTCCCCTCAGCTGCCACGCATCGTGTCAGCCACCTGCACCCCTTCATACACTTTTCTGCATTCGTTCAAGCGATCACACCATCTGAATTGATGTGAATGGATCCACTGTCTAAAAACAGGAGACACCCCAAGGGCAGAGGAAGAGGCTATGGATTCTAGAGGGAAAGGCCAGACTGATTTGCATTGGCTTTTATGTCATGTAAAAGGTAAAGGTAAAGGTTCCCCTTGACAATTTTTGTCCAGTCGTGTTCGACTCTAGGGGGCGGTGCTCATCCCCGTGTCCAAGCCATAGAGCCAGCGTTTTGTCCGAAGACAATCTTCCGTGGTCACATGGCCAGTGCGACTTAGACACGGAACGCTGTTACCTTCCCACCGAGGTGGTCCCTATTGATCTACTCACATTCGCATGCTTTCGAACTGCTAGGTTGGCGGGAGCTGGGACAAGCGACGGGTGCTCACTTTGTCGCATGGCTTCAATCTTACGACTGCTTGGTCTTCTGACCTTGCAGCACAGGCTTCTGCGGTTTAGCCCACAGCGCCACCACGTCCCACCTTTATGTCATGTAGTCAATGGGAAAAAATTAAAATTGGACTGCCCCAATCTCATACAATTTCCTGCAGTCAGTGTACTCACACCCCGAGTCCCTGATACGCATATGCATTACAAATTGGTAAGATAGTTGGTAAACCAAGGGTCACACTGTGGGTAAACTTGATCTAATCATTACTAAAATTTGACAAATGTTGTCGGTCTGACTTGTATCAAAATTCCACTCAAACCACATGATTGATGGGGTTTTGAAAATGAGTTTATTTGAGACTGTCTGCTGGCTTATGTTACAGTACATGCAATCAGCCTAGAAACAACTTTACTGATCCTTTGGGATATCATTTCAATGCTGCTATCCAACAGTTCTCTTTCTTTCAAGGGGCCATTGAGCATATAACAGCAATCCCCCAATATGATAGTAAAATACTGCTAATAATAAGAAAGGAAGGGAAGCCAATATGAGTCTTGTATTTTGTGTCACTGCGCTAGACGTGTAGGATGATAGGGTTCAATGTAGAAGCCTTGGAAGCTACACCAGGAAGCAGCATCCCCTCGTGTTATTGCTAGCACTGAAAATTAGCTATAAAAAGACAGAAGCAAGCTTGTGTTAGCTTGTGTAACAGGAAACGAGAGATGGAATGAGAGATTCATGACAAGGGGACACCATCAGCTGTTTTGTTTTTGCTTCTTTTCTTTTCTTGGCCTAGTATCTGGCTGTGGAGCCAGAGGTTGGGAGTTCAGTTCCCCACTGGGCATCTCAGAAGAGCCAGCCTGTGTGGTCTTCAGCTACCCAGGATACTCCGGAAGAAGGGAATGGTGAATTATAGCTAAATATTCTTCCTCACTTGTTCCTTATGACGTACTGAATTTTCAATAACTTTGAAGATTTCTTTCCAATAAAGATCAGACTTTGATTTGATTGAATTTATTTGTTCAAGGACGACTCTCTACTATTGCCTTTTAAGGAATTGTCATTCATGGAACTGCAGTACTTCATGAGTCAAGAGTGCAACAGCCAAGAATTAATGGATCATATTATGAAATGGTTTTATGCATCAAATGACACACGTTCAAAACACATGGCGATTATAGCAGTGTGATCTCATTGTTAATTTTTTTTTATTTGTGGAGAAAAATCCCTGAAAATGTGTGCAATTTTGATTCAAAGTCTGCAGTAGTACACATGCAGTAGCAGTCCATTCTCATGAATCAGGATCCAGATCAGGCTATCAAAAGAAAAAAAAAGTCTAAGAATATGGATTTTGCCCGAAAGCAAAATAAATCTCCAGATACTATGATAAACACATTGTGTGAGAAAAGTGTGCCATTATAATGACGTTGATGTGGATATAATGGTTTTTACAACAGGATACATTTTATTTCAATAAAGATTCCCAGTAGAAATCTCTTGAGGTTTACATAATTCTAAACATATTCTCTGCAGGATCAGCCATGTGATTTTTCCTTTCTTAAGGCAATACAAAATGTTAATCTGTCATTAATTAAATTCAGGACTTTGTTTGTTACAAGGCAGCCTTGGCTGGAATTCAGTGCTGCTAGTGTTGATTTAAGTGAGGGCTCTCAGTTCCTATTGAAAAAGATGCCAGGCATCTTTTGAGGAAAGAAACTGTAAAAATGCATGCAAAGTTATTGCAAATGAAATAAATCTGCAACCCAGTTGAGATGAATTAGTTATGTGTGAATAGGAGGGGATTCTGTTATAATGAGTCGGACCAATAACTTTTTAAAAGTACAGTAATTTTAATGTTTTCATGTTAGTTTTGAAACAATGTCTGACATTCTGTTGCTTAGTGTAGTAAGTTGCACTAAAGTAGGGCCAAACATCAGTGCTGTATGTAACACCAACATTCAGGGCAAGTTAGCAGTGTCAGCCTTTAAACTGAAAGCTTTGTGGCCTTCAAGACACAACTGGTGATCATTGCCTTTTCCTAGATTATTGTCTAGGGGGGAAAGGGTATCTGGCAGGCATTGTTGACAAGGATCTGCAGGTGGTATGGATGATGCTCAACACCTTAAGTCTAACACATTATTTCCGAGCTTTGGCCTGCTCTATTTGCATACCTGGATGCAAGGACTAGTATGAGGACCTGCCCTTTAACACAATCTTGGTTGCCTTTTTAGGGGCTGTGCCATGTGGCAGGAGGAGAAATATGCTGACCTGCAGCCATGGCACGGTGTACTGGGCAGCAAATTACATTACAAAGTCAGCCATTGGTACACAGCTGAGCATCAGCACATGTGCAGTGGTGGAATGGCTGGGTTGGAGGGGCCTGAGATAGGAAGGCCTCCTCCTGTCAGTGTTGTGAGAGTGGGGTGTGGGCTACCATCAGATATTGTGATTGTCCATTTAGGAGGGCTTGTTAAATGGGAAAGAGATGATATTGAGGGCAGTTAGAGATTTGTAAGTGGCTCAGACTGGCCATTGTTTTGGTCAGTGATGGGGCCCAGGACAGTTTAGAGGGAGGGCTGTATTCCTAAGGCCACAACGAGAATACAGCAGGGGAGTCAAAAGAGCTCAGAAAAGCTATGGAAAATGGTTTGGGAGTTTACTTACTGCATCTGGAATTGTGTGTGGAGTTCTGTCAAAGTGATAAGGTACATATCACATTCAGGTGGCAACAATTTCATAAGGGACCAGCAGATGGGCCTGTAATCCATTTTAGACGGCTTGGTGTGGGCAAGCCATCTAGTTGCTTGCACCATTGCAGTGGCAGGGGTATGGAAGGATAAGAAGGGATGGTTTGCTCTCTTGGGTCACCTTTTGTGAAGAGGAGTCGACAGATGGGTTCATAGGATATTGTCATCCTGGGGTCCCTCTGTCGTGCTACCTTTTGGCTGGCTGGGATACAGCCTTCTTTCAGTCTGGTTCCCCTCAGATGGAGGATGGGGCCAGGCTGTGGATTACAACATGGCCTTGGGGATTAGGAGCTAGCCCTTAAAAGAGAAGAAGTGTATGTAGAGGAACCTGGCTCTGTCTCAGTTCTGCACTTTGTTAGGCCCCTCTGCAGGATAGGGGACGGCCGACTAAAGATCAAGAAAGTTAATGCCCTAGTTTACCCCATTGTATGTGTCTTGACTATTTTCAGTTGGGGGGGACTGTCTTATCCAAGTCTGAAATACACTGTTCACACTTGAAATTTAGCTAGCACTCTGTCATGACACTGGCTCCACTGCTGAGGCAGTTGCTTAGATCTGAATCAGGCCATTTCCATAAAATATTTTGGTCCTGTTACCTAGGTTTTAATTACTAACACAACTACCTCTCTAGAAACTGCATAAGCGAAGTCCATTCTTGGAAAGTAAAAGATTTAATAGCTCTCCTCCTTTACTGTACCCAGTAATATTTTTAGTAACATTTAGTATATTTATAACTCGGGTTGAGCAGGGACTCATCCAAAAGAGCCATGGAGTATGAGTCTACCTTGTATCCAGGGAGAAGGCTGAATAATGCAAATATTCACATCTGGAAGACATTTATTCTACCCAAACCACGCCTCCTCAAAGCACATACTAGGTGGAACACATTGTCCTGAGAATTTTCTCTGCACAGACTGGATACTCCCTGCTGTAGCAGTACAGAAATCTTAGGGGGCAGTTTATTTACAACAGAATTCATCAGGACAACCGCAGAGTAGGAGTTATTTGACTCACGCCCTCACAGTGCGAACGTACTGAGAGCCAGCTGGCTTACCGACAGTGCAACCCTGTCTACTCTGAAGTAAGTCTCAAGCTGTTTGAGTGGGCTTACTCTTGGATGAAGGGATATAAGATTGTAGTCTAAAGCTTTGTGGGTATTTCTCACTGAGTCATTTGTGTTTTGTTTTGTTCTTTAAAAATCTCAATTAGATTGAACTTTTAAAAAGAAAAAACATAATACATTTACTTCCTAAAGAGCCCATCATAAAAATCCATAGGTTTAAATGTTCTTGACTATTGCTGAGTTCAGTCTTATACTTGATTAATATCTACTATTTCTTACAATAACACATATAGATGCATATGCACAGGCTTTGTAAATGGGTATTAGCAATATCAGTAACAACAAACGAACATTGACCAAACAATAAGAGAAACAACATGAATACTTCTGAAATACTTCTTGAACAATATTTCTTTTTGCTTGTCCTGCCTATATATACAATGTAATTCTATTAGGCTAAATCCAAATATTAATCTCAGACTCACTGATTGAATGGAACTTATAAATATTTATGCAAATCCCATTGATTCAATCACCCTACTCTAGTCTAGTTGGGAGTAATAATTACACTTAAGCCACCCAGTGTTTCTACTTCAGAAAATTTAAAGCACCGTTCTTCCTTCTCACCTGTAGACAATCATGGTCATTTTATTTTCAAAGGGTGCTATAAAAATCAGACACATATTTTTCAAGCAGTTTTCATAGACTCCAGCTGTTCAGATACCATATATATAATTTCTGAAATGTGTCACAGCAAGATACTTAACCCTAATCTGTCTGCAGTGTCATCCTGCCACAACATGTTTTTTTAAAATAATAAATTGTTTTCAGGAAACTATTAATGAGATTGAGGTTTAATGGTTTTGTGTGAGAGGTCACCTTTTGAATGTAAAGCCTAATGTACAACAAGTGTAAACAAGGTGGAATTAAGGTATGGAAGGAAGATTATGTTCAGAACACTCTCCTGAGCCTGCACATATAGATTGCATCTTGTCCACAGGTAACAAAGATGTGCGGAAGGTTGTTTCCAGTAGTGGCCACTGAAGGAAAATGTCTATCAGCATTTCAGGGAAGGAGGAGACTCTCAGCAATTTCCCCCCATTGCAAATCTTCTCTGGACCCCGAGGACCTTCTCATGAAGATTACTGAAAACAACCCTGCTTCCCACTCTGCTGGCAGACCCCTTCCATTTGCAAAGTGGCCACAACAGAGTACAGCCAGAGCACGGACTGTATAGAAAGAATATGCACATGTATAGTTGGCTTATGAGTCTATGTGTTGTTTGAAAACATGACCAACATATGGACATTGAGTGTGTGGCCCATGGGTGAGATTATCCCCTTCTCTTTCCACACAGGGATAGTGTACAGAAGCAGTGAATGTCTTATGTATCTTCCATTATAAGTGGCAGGAGTTCAATAGGCTTGAATTCTGTGACATTTTAATGGAGGAAACTAGAGTAGGATCAATAGAGTTCTATCATTTCTTGCCACATATAAAATGGCCCCCTTCAGAAATAATATTATTTGTTGGAATTAAAAACTGACCAAAAGATTTGGTTTGAATCATAATTCAACAGTTCAGAAAATGGAATAAGTTGATTTGGATCAATTCAGAGGTCCCTTGATTCCAAACTCAAGTCCAGCCGTGAATTTTGCTGCAGAGATCCAAATCTTTATGCCTTCCATTATCATTAGAAACCAAACAAATGGCTGCAAAAATTTCATATTTGCCAGACATTTACACATGTTGTTGCTTTTTTGAGTCAGTCTACTGCCTTCCACTTTTCCTAGTGTTACTAACTTTGATTCTTGTCTTCTCATGATATGTCCAAAGCAAGATAGTTTAGTCACCTTTTTCTTTTAGCTACTCATGCTTGAGTTGATTTGAAACCCATTTATTTGTCTTTCTGGCATTCTATGTGATATTTGTAATCTCCAATACCACATGTGCTTTTTTTCATTCCTTTTTTTTCATTGTCTAATATTTGCATCCATACATGATAATCAGGAACATCATAGTACGAATTATCTTGTCCTTGGTCTCTAGCAATACATCCTGATACTGAAGATCTTTTCTAGTTCTTCCATTGCTGCCCATCTGCATGTCTGCCATCTTCTGATTTCATGGGTGCAGTCAGGGCGGATTCAAGGTTCTGGTGGGCCCTGGGGGAAAAATATAATAGTGTGGGGAAAAGCCTTCCTCCTCCCTCCCTCTCCCTACATGGGTCACAAAACATGGGCAATGTAATATGAGTGCAGTCAGGGCGGATTCAAGGTTCTGGTAGGCCCTGTGGGGGGGGAATATAATAGTGTGTGGGGAAGCCTTCCTCCTCCCTCTCCCTTATCTCCCACCTACATGGGTCACAAAACATGGACAATGTAATACAGTGGGGTCTTGACTTGAGAACTTAATCCGTATTGGAAGGCGGTTCTCAAGTCAAAAGGTTCGCAGGTCAAATCTGCATTTCCCATAGGAATGCATTGAAAACCATTTGATCCGTATCTGCTCTTTTCCGTCCATAGAAACTAATGGGAAGCTGTTATTCCGCCTTCGACCACTAGAGGGGGATATTTTGTTTCTTTTTTCTTAGGTCAAGAAAGGTTCAGGGAAGGCAGGGAAAATACAGTCCAGGCAGTACAGTACCAGGCAGTCTGAAGACTGTCTCCCAATCCACTCTCTAAACACTGGGAGGAGTGAGGAAGCAGACAGGCACCCTTTTCACTGGCCAACAGTTAACTGAAAGTTCACATTTTGCACTTTCCCTGCCTCCCACGTGGTTTTTTTCAGTTCGTAACTCAAATCTAAGTACGTAAGTCAAGTCAATATTTTCCTATGAGAGCGGTTCGTAAGTCAAAATGTTCGTAACTCGGGCCGTTTGTAAGTCAAGACCCCACTGTATGGCATAAATAAGACAGACTCATTAATGTAATATTGGTAGCAGTAAATAAGTGAACAATGCTTAGGTAAATAAACAAACAAACAACATAACATTGAAAAGAAAGTCTAACTCTGCAAACAACATAACAATGAAAAGGAAGTCTAACTCTTGAGGGAGAAGGAGAGGTGAGGCAAGGGAAGCCTAAAACTGAGCTTCGAGGCACTCTGTACATGCCCAGAGAAGAGGAAACGCTGTGCAGATTGAGTGCAGAATATACTGAGGCTGCAATTCAGAGCAGGCCCCACATGGAAGGGAGGGAGGCTGCCTGTTGTGTGGGGTTGCAGGACGTGGGGCTCAGGTGCAGGAGGCTGCCTGTTGTGTGGGGTCGCAGGACGTGGGGCTCAGGTGCAAGAGGAGGCAGAGGACTTTGGAGAAACAGCTGCCACCACCCAACTAAGGGCAGTGGTGGGAAGAGTGCCCCACGTGTCCCCGCCAGCCTTTCTCCCCCCCTTCCTCATCTGACCTCTATTGGGAGAAGCAAGTCTTGCTGAGGCACTTGAGTTCCAGGATGCCATTGGGGCAGCCAGGGGCAAAGATGGCCTTGTACACCTCCAGAGGCGCCCTGGAAGACATCCCGGAGCAGGTCCTTGAGGTGCAAGAGGGCGCCCTTCTCCTCATAGGTGTCCAGGAGCACTTCCTACAAATGTGCCTCCTGCTTGCACAGCAACGCCACCCGGCACAGGAGGAAGATCAGCCGCCCTAGCAGCACCCATGGCAACCACAGCCCAGCCTCCAGGGGAAGAAGAAAGGAAGTGGAGGATGCCGGCATAGCTGCCACTGGGTCCCTCCCGTAGCTCTTCCCCAGGCATGGCAGTGGCAGCGGTCCTGGGGAGATGGTGGGTCAACAGAGGCAGGACATGGTGCGCAAAGGAGCTGACTGCCATCTACCTGCCCTCCAGCACCCATGGCTTGCTGTTGAGGAGCACCACCTGCATACACTGCACCACTGCCCTGGGCTGGCCTCACCGTTGCAGCCCCAAGGGCTCCCTGCCGGCTGCTGCTGCTGCTCTGGCTGGTCTAACCCCCTCATCATGTGGATCTCTGCAGAGAGTGGGCCCTGGGCAAGTGCCCATTTTGCCCTCTGAGTAAAGCGGCCCTGAATGCAGGCTCCATTTTGATTCCTTATCGAACCAAGGTGTAGAAAACGACTTCTATCTCTTTATTGTCAACATTAAAATTATGTAATTATTCTACGGTAGTGATTTTTGTCTTCTTAATGTTAAGCTGTTATATTGAGTTTGGTCTTTCTTCACCTTGTTGAGTTGTCATTTTAAGCTGTTGCTCTTTTCTGCCAGTAATATGGTGTCTTTGTATACATTGAATTATTTATGTTTAGAGATGGGCACGAACTGCACTTCAGCACAGTTTGGCAGATTCGACCCACAGGTGTTGCATGGGTGCCCTAGATTCCCCGCCCCGCCTCCTCATGGTCCACACAGCGTAAGGCTTTAGTGTTTAATGTATAATTTTATAATGCACTTCAATTGTCAACAATCTTGATTGCCACTTCCTTTTCTCATTTAATTCATTTTGAATCTCTGGCATTACTTGGTCCATTCATGGTAAAAGTTCTTTTTTGTGATTTTGATAAATGCAGTACTGTAGCTTCAACTAGTATCATGTCTATTTTTCATAATTTTTTCTTTCTTTCTAATGCTTTGAAAGCAGCTTTCACCTCAGTTTCTGAAACTGCAGTTCTTCATAGCCCATTTCCTTCTGTTTAGTACTAACAAGAGTTAGCTTCAGTACCACTGCCATTGTCTAGGAAAGCTGCCCGTTGGGTGCTTCTGTGCCCCCAATATCACTACCATTTTTGTTCTGTGGACTTGACTGCTAAGCTTGAAGATAGAGAATGCATCTTAGCCTGATGTGTCAGCTAAGTTCTGACTGGGGTGGTCTGATTTGGATTCTTAACTAGTGAGAATCTAGCCTCTCAAGAATTTTGTTCGGTTTTCCTAGGAGACTCAGCCTATCCTGTTAATGTTTACACATTAAGGTGATTATATGATAATAAATGAAATAATAACATTTTACATTTTAAGTGATACATCATAGTTCTATGAAAATTATTCTATTAATATTTAATTTTCTGAGGTAAAGATAAGGATTATTTCATTCATTTTCTATTATTTCGGCTTGTGTTAATTAATTTACAAATATTCATAATATCCTTTGTTAATTGTTTAATTTGCTGTAGTCTGATACCGGCCTACAAGCAAACAAATCTGAATATACTTGTGTTAGTACTGTTTTCATCACTGTTAGCTAAAAAAAAAGCAGCTAAATCAAGAAAAGCAAGGGCAAATGGTACTTTTATTGGATCATTAATTCTTTTAAAAATCTAGCTATCCATCTATGCTAGTCTTCATCAAACTGTGCAGCAAAATATTGTGCATAGTGCAGGAAAAAATATGAAGGTCTGAAATATCATGGCAGATGTCCATGCCAGGTCTGTTTCTTACAGATGAGTTACAAAAAGCAGGCTGCAAACATAAATCAGGAATGCAGGGGTGGAATTTGAAAGCTACATTCCTGAGTTATGTTTACAGCCTGCATTTTTGAACTCACCTTTAAGAAACAAACCTGGCACAGACATCTGTCATGACTTTTGGGACTTCCATATGTTTTTTTTCTGTGCTACCAACAATACATTGTGGAAATAGTGGTCTAATAAAGGCATCACCTTCCCTTCCTTTTGCAATGTACTAAGGACCACATGGCTTTGTTTTTAATAAATCAAAAAGTGGAAGTGTGGAATTTCCCAGAGATGTGAGAAGTTATTTAGCATATTCTGGGAATTACAGTTAAAACTGATTTTTTCCCTCATCTTTGACCCTTCCCTTTTCCAGATTCCGGGACTCTTAAAACATTAATATGTATTAATTAATACATTAATATTTTTTTCCAAAAATATCAAGGATGTTCACTTTAGAGAGATAGGGTAGGACCTATTACTGCACTTTTGTCATTCACCAGACTTTTTGTAGATTCATACTCTGTGCAAGATTAGTTCTGTAAGTAATTCCTTTAACATATAGGACACTGTTCTGAAGCCGTTTTAATGTATCCGCTCTATTTCCCATGCCTGTGGAATAAAGCTGTGTCATTCTCATTCCTGATCTGAGACTCTGCTACCCAGGACAATCCAGCTTCATGGCTTCGTGCAAGCATTTGAGCACTCGATTTGTCTTTGTTTCTTAACAGCTTTGTGCATATGTGTTTCTGAGAGGAGGAGGAGGGGAAGCAGGGAATTTGGGGATGGTTTCAAAGCAGTCAGTGGCAACTGCGGCATCTCTCATTAGAGGTTTGGCTTCTGTAATATTTGGCTTCAATTTCAAACCAAAAAAAGTCCCCAAAATGGCCAGACTGGAGCTACAGTCATGGGAACAAGTCCTTGCATGGCAGTTCCTTATTTCTTTGGAAGTGGCCACAACATAACTGAAGATGTGCATCATCTGTGTAATGTGTAAGTACTCAGTCATGAGTCTGAGATTAGGCGTCTGCTAATAGTTCTTGTAAATTTGATGCAGGATCTGTTTTATCCTTTCATTCTGTTTACTGGGCATACTAGCTCTAGCTGCATAGAATCAATGCCCCATTGACTTACATGCAGCTATCTATTCACACGCAGAGCAGAGAATAGGATCGTGCAATTAGCTGAAATCTTCAGTAATTTGTAAGGACCTAAAGTTTACTTTATGCTTTGGTGACTGCTTTCCTCTTCTGGCATCTCTATGATTGTTTGGCTGAGCATGCTGTGTATTGAGGTGTTGTAATTGCTCGAATGGATGCCTGTGCCCTTTGTCATTATCAGAGTACGGAGCATTCTCTGATTACCAATCTCAGAGTAGGAATTCACATCATTTTTTATTAATAACCGTGAGCAGTATTCGTTTGATGGTAGTTAGAGGGTGCCCACCAAAAAAGCTCCCAAGGGGCAGTCAGTGCACAAAAAGAAAACAACTTAAAATTAAATAACATTTTAAAAAAACAGTAAAAGCACTGGCACAGCTTACACTGAGAAAATAGCATGATACAAGCAGGGTAGATATAAAAACCTGGGAAAACTAAAAGATAGCGGTGGAGCAACAACATCAAGATAAGACTCTGCTGAGTCACTCTGGGGTGGATGTTCTGCAGCCAGGGCACTCCACCATACTTTTTCAGCAGTGTTACTTGAAGGAGAACCTCTGAAGATTTCAAGGTCCAGGTAGGTAAATGTGGAGAGTGGTGGTCCTTCAAATGTCCTAGTCTATGGTAGCCAATGAGTGGACCCACTGGAAAGCTGTTCTCGGGAAGTCTGTAGTCTTGAAAGATAACTGTTATGTTTGTATACTAAATTAATCAACAAATGCTGTCAACACACAACTTTCTGGAGGGATGTCGTGGACTTCTTTTCTGGAGGGATACTGTGGTCAATAGAACTGAACACCAATGAGAGGTCCAAGAGAATCAACAGGCTCACATTTCCCTGTGCTTCCCTTGGCAAAGGTTGTCTCATGAAGTGATTGAGGCTACTTCTGTGCCAAAGCTACAGTCATGAGAATGAGTGCCCACACTAGTTTTTCCTTGGAAAATTGCCACCAAATAGCTGAATACATGCATAATCTATCTAATGTGTAAGTAGTCAGTCATGAGTCTGAGAATATGCCAGCACCAAACTTTTTTTTTTTAAATTAAATCCAGGATAAGCTCAACCACTTGATTTTGCATATTGTATAAACTGGTTTTCGCTGCACTGAACCAATGCAAGCACATTTACATGCAGCCCTTTCCCTCCCTCATGCAAAACAGGTAAGAGCATGGTCTTAGCATGAAACCCAATGGAAAGTGTTAAAGAGTGACCAGATAGGCGGGATATAAATAAAATAAAATAAATAAATAAATTCAGTTTCCTCTCTGTCTTCAACCTGCTCAAGCAGCTCATACAGGCTTCTTTAAAAGGGGTTTACACGATAATAGAATATATAGTAAGTAATTGGAGAGTTTCTTATCTGACTAAAGCGGTGGAGATACAATTACACATCAGACCACCTTATCTATTTTATAGCCTAAAAGCAAAAAAAAAAAGTATGAAGATTGTTTAAAAGGCAGCAGAGCTGCAACTAGATAATTTTCTGCCCAAAATTAACCCTTATATCTGATATCATAGTAGATGTTTGTTAAAATAGTAAATAAATAAATAATAAGAAGACTGAGTAATAATAAGATATGCACACTCTAAAGCATAAGTAAATCGGCATTTAGTACATTATTTAAAAATACATGTTTGGTTATTTTAAAAGTCTTACATTTCTTCCATCAGTTTATGTACTTTCACTGGCAAAAAAGGCACAGAATTTCCTTGCCTGATACCTGCTCTCTCCAACACCACCACTCAGACTATTACAGAATGATCAATACGTTCTCTCTGAATGGGGTAAAAGCATGCTTCACTCATTCATCCCCACTAGCCTAAGGTGGAGACAATCTATATGCCTGTGAATGATATAAAGGAGAAGGAAAAAAAGGACAGGTGCTTATGCTGGAGCCAGAATTTGGACTTTGTTGATCTTTCAGCATTCTTCAATTTCTGGCTGAATAAATTGATGTGTGGCAGTGGATCTGTTCTATTCTCAGCCTTTAAATTGGGAGACAAATTCAAATATTATTGAAATATTATAAAATGTCAAATGTGTGTGCTCTGTGTTGTCAATTGGAACGAAGTTATAGTAACCCTAATAGGGCTTTCAAGGCAAATGAGATATTTAAGAAGTGGTCTTACCATCTACCCACAGTGAATTCCCACGGCCAAGTGGGGATTCAAACCCTCTTCTCCAGAGTCCTGGTCTGTCACTCTGTCCACTACACCACACTGGGAATCCCTCTGAAATGTCATAAGCTTCCAACCTTTCCAGTGACTTCCTTGAAGAAGAAACTAAACCTAGGTGAGCACTGAGAATTTTCCAATCACTGGGGAAATGAATGTGACTATAAGTTATGATGAAACATCAATAATTTTTTATGATATGAAAGCATATGTTAAGAAAGCACCTTGTAACAAACTTTGGCCAGAACTAGTGGAAGAAAGCACGTTTGAGTTTCTGGCCATTCCGTGCTCTTCCCATGTTTAAACATCTGGAATCACTTAGCTGTCTCTCTGCTTACTCATTCAATTTAATATGCAATGTCACTGAAATGTTCTGTGAGTACAATAATATGCTACCTAATTTTAACTCATGAGTTAAATATATATCCAAGATGCTTTCATCAAACATTGATCAGCATTTTATAGAAGGCACAAGTAACATATTTGCACTCAATATTTGTATTCATTTTGTCAGTGTCCTGTGTTAAATACTTTTAATAGACTGAAATGTTTTGGAAGGCCCTTGTAGCCTATATACAACAATATGTTAGAGAAATATAACTAATTATGTAATGACCTCTGAAATTATTGA